AAATCCTTTGGCAGGTCAAATAGTTCCTATGTGTATTTTTAATTTTGGGTTTAGCTGCTTGTCAGGCATTAAGCTTTAAACGGCGTTGAATCTTAAAGTCCCAGTTTATTTAAAGAGTTTTAATATTATCCGTGCACACATATGTTGAGTTCTCAGTAGCTTTTTAATAGGGATGCACCGATACGGATACTAGTATAGGTATTGGTGACAATGCCGAGTATTTGGGCGAGTACTGGTACTCACCCAAATGCTCTGATACCTAGCACGATACTTTCCGTATCAGGAAGCAGGGCAGCAAGTCATTGCATGCTGCCCGGCTTCCTGATTGGCCAAGAAGCCGGCTCCATGCTCCCTCGTTACCTAGTGACAAGAATCATGGGGACGGCTTTCCTGATAATCGTGAAGCCGGGTGGCGAGTCATTACACGCCTCCTGGCTTCCTTAATCGGACTTCCGGTATCGGTATTCGGTATCGGTGAGTACCGGAAAAAAATATTGGTACTCGTACTCGATACCGAAATACCAGTATCGGCGCCTCCCTACTATTTAAAGCTGAATACTCGGCGTACAGCTTAATACAAAGTTGAAATATATATGAGATGTTATAGCTGTCAAAGGATTTGTATTTCTGTCCATCCAGTCCTGAGATTTACACCATACTTGTAGACTGTACAGCCGGGGCTTGTGACCTGAATTTTATATGCTGCAGTTAACCAATGTGGCTTGGTCACCTCCCCAGTCAGTGAAAGAGCAGCAGTTTACACATCTGCTCACTGTGCTCTCTCCTAGCGTCAGCATGTTCCCGATCAGAACATGCGCATGATGCAGAGCATCTGATTGGCTATTTAGTGCTCCGCCTCCCTCTCTTAGTCTAAGAGCCTGATACCAATACAAATTGCTAGTTGCATTCAGCGATTTCTGCAATCCTTATTGGGGGCCCCCTTCCATCCCCAGGCCCCATAGCAGCCGCATGGGCCGCTATGGCTATTGTTATGTAACTGGTTGTATTTAAAGGCCCACTTCAGGTAAAATATAACTCCCCACCAATGATATAAGGTTCCTTTGGGTTGTTGCCTCCTGAAGCAAGATATAGTGCCTTGATGTAAGGACTGCTAATCCAGTGCTGCTCCTGGAGATGGCCTTAAAAATACATTTCATAACCCTGTAATAAATAAACTTTTGCATTAATTGAGGTTTGTATTATATCAGCCCGGAACCAACAAACAACCAAGGGAGTGGAGGAACATTTCCCAACACACAGCAGACCCGGCTTGTAAAAAGCGCAGACATTTTTCGCAAACACAGGACAATCAGCTCCTTCATGAGGACACCTAAGTCGTATTGTGTGCAAACAACGCTGAAGACCTTGACTGCCCAAAACATATAATAACCTCGGGCGAGAGCACGCTGGACACAACAGGCTGGAAGGTTACAGAACAAAATAAGATCCTTTTGTTGGCTCAACAGGTTCACAGCGGAATTACTACCGCCAATGTGCCGAGCCAATAAATGGAGCTTCTTGTGTGCTGCATCCTCATGTCTACCGTACACTGATCTCTTGACGGATGGCATGGTCAGATTTGTGGAACATCTGGTTCCACTGTTAGTTCACCTCCAGCCCAGAAGAAGATGCAAGCCATGATCTGCATTCATGGTCTCCATCAGAACGGCATAGGAGAGCCATCAGAGTTCTCTATAGCTCTTTAGACTCCGGATGTCTCATTGAAGTGTTGCGGTATTTGTGTGGGACATTATTCAATAAACAGTGCAAGGAGCAAAATGCTAAGCACGTACATGCCAACTGTGCCGGATTTGCTGGGACAGTCCCGAATCTTAACCCTCTGCCCCACTGATACTGTGACCCGGGTCATATGCCAGGATGACAGCACCAACCTCGAGTGGGTTACTAAACATGAGCAGTAACTTAAAAAGTCATAAATTGCAGGGTTTGGGGGTCGCAAGTGGGCCTTCACCGCAGGTTGGTTGGGACCAACCTGTAAAGTGGTTATGATAGGCGATCCCTGCAGATTTAGAGTTGGGGTCAAAGTGCCCATGATAGGCGATCCATTCATATTTAGAGGTAGGGTTGGGACCAACCCTTAAAGTTGTCGTGATAGGTGATCCCTTCATATTTCGAAGTGGGGTCAGGACCAACCTGTGAAGTGGTCATGATAGGCGACCCTGCATATTTAGAGGTGGGGTCAGGACCAACCTGTAAAGTGCCCATGACAGCCAATCCCTGAATATTTAGAGGTGTGGTCAGGACCAACCTGTAATGTGCCACTGATATTCAATCACTGGATATTTAGAGGTGTGGTCAGGACCAACCTGTAATGTGCCACTGATATTCAATCACTGGATATTTAGAGGTGGGGTCAGGACCAACCTGTAAAGTGCCCATGATAGGCGACCATGCAAATTTAGAGGTGGGGTCAGGACCAACCTGTAATGTGCCCATGATAGGCAGTTCTGCATATTTAGAGGTGGGGTCAGGACCAACCTGCAAAATGGTGGTGATAGGCGATCCCTGCATATTTAGAGGTGGGTTCAGGACTAACCTGTAAAGTGGTTGTGATGGTGTTCCCAGCATATTTAGAGGTGGGGTTGGGATCAACTTGAAAATGCTGGTGATAGGCGAACCCAACATATTTAGAGATAGGGTCAGGACCAATCTGTAATGTGCACATGATAGGTGACTCCTGCATATTTAGAGATGGGGTGTGGACCAACCCGTAAAGTGATCATGATGGTGTGTCTTGCATATTTAGAGGTAGGGTTGGGAGCAACCTGTAAAGTGCCCGTGATAGGTGATTCCTGCATAGTTAGTGGCTGGGTTGGAACCAACCTGCAAAGTAGACATGATGGCCTGTCCCTGCATATTTAGAGGTGGGGGTCTGGGCAATTCCAACTTGTAAAGTGGGTATCATTTGGGTACACCCACCCGGAATGTTGGCAGGCACAATAGGCAAGGGTCACAGGACACTGACAACACTTTTGTTTAAATGGAAAACACAAACACCGCAAATAGATCTCATATAACTGAATTAGCATAATGTCACCTAGGGACTGTTCTGTACCCTCGTGGCTGTAAAAGGATCTTTAATAAAAGAAGTTAAAAATAAATAAATGAATGAATAATGAATAAGATTGTGCTCCATACTCCGAAGAATAAACGCATGTGCAACATACAAGCCGTGAGAACAAACAGAGAAACACAAAATCTCACAATCATAATCTTCGCACATTCGAGGTTTTTGAATAAATACAGGTGTGCAATTTTGAAGCGTTAATTGGCAAATAGGAAGTCCGGGTGATTTTTTTTTTTAGTGCAGGTCACTTTTTTTTTTTTCAGGATTGTGGGGTGGCCAAAGCGTATTTTTTAACCAAGCCTTAGTTTATCACCTCGATGGATGCGTCAGTTTTTAGCGCGCTTTCATCTTTCACGTTTAGCGGGAATTGAATCATTTCTATTACATTTCTGGACGATAATAACGACTGCAGCAAATTTCGTTTATTAAAATGTAAATTGTGACGAACGTCTTTAGGCTTCAATTATTATAATTGTATTTATTTTACACATTGGCAGCGGCATGGCGACGTAGCTGCAGGGAGAGAGTCAGTCATACTAATGTGCTCTGTAATAGGGAACGATTGGGTTCCAGGTGAAGGACGGTGATACGGATTATGCTCAGAAATATATTTCCTAATTCCAGTTAATCAGTGCGCTGTTTGGTTGAAAAAAAAAAGAAGAACCTTTGAGGCTGCATGTCAGGGTGATAAGTGACGCCTAAGCTGACATTCCGCGTCCAATGTTTGTGCAATCAAACAGCATGTTTCAGGCTGATGCTTGTTGCCATGGAAACCAGCAGAGGAACGGCCCAGGTGGCACATAAATGGTGCGTTTTACTAGGGAAGCAGCAGGCGCAGTTCTTGACCTGAGCCACCAGAGGGAGCACTAATGGCAATGCAATTATAGCCTCGGGAACCTTAAATCTGAGACTGTATCTGCTTATATGTTGTTATATGTTATATGTATAGGCATTGCAAGACTCTGACAGCCCCAGGCATGACTTCCAGAGGCAGAGACGTGTTGGGATTTGTAGTTAAAGCACAGGTGGAGGGCCAGAGTTGCCCACCCCTGCTCCAGACCCAATACCCATCCTTTGTTGCTATACGTAGGGTCTGAGACAAGTTTAAACTTAGGCCAGGTTCACCCCTGGGCGTTCCGTGACCGTGTAGGAATCGTGCACAATACCGCTTGGATTGCCGCGCAGTCACGGAGTGGCCAATCACCGGCGATCTCGCTGTGGGTGCCATTATTTTCTAATGGTACCTCAGTTGCACCAGGCAGATCGTGCGGTTTCCTGTCACGATTCCGCCCGTGCAACTGAACACTAAAACAGCTGTGCATCTTGTATCGCAAAAAAAAAGGTACATGTACAGATGTCAGTCATCTCTGAGCATGATGAGGGGGACACTGCGCTTGCACACGTATAAATTATGGCTTATCTGCTGAAAATAAATTGGTGTGCTGGTGATATTCTTCAAAAATCTGCTGCCCGGATGTACACCATTGAAATCAATGGGGCCGCGCAGCAATCGCTGTCTGCAATTGTGCACGACTGCGCAATCCCGGATCGCTCAGGTCTGCACCAGCCCTAAAGCAGAACACCATTTGCACATTTAAATATCACCAATTTTGGGGGTTGAAGCAACAATAATCTCTCAGTTGTTTTTTTTTTATTTGGCCATAACACTATGGGGGGAATTTTATCAAAACTGGAGCAGAAGAATCTGGAGCAGTTGCCTATGGCAACCAATCAGCTTCTCTCTTCAGTTTGTTTAGTTAAGATTTGAAAATGAAAGGTTGATGCTGATAGGTTGCCATGGGCAACTGCTCCAGATTCTGTTTGCTCCAGGATTGATAAATTCCCCTCTATATGTTTCTAAGCTTTGCTGTTATCATAATATAGTAACAGGTTTTTGTTTTATTTTCAGCCTGTTGAAGATATCAGTCGCGTGACCGCGCAACTGCCGTTCAGAAGCAAAGTCCTGACGATACAGGTAAGTGAAAACAGCGCTATTGCTTTTAAGTTGCAGTTAGCAATCCCACCACCAGAGGGCAGAAGTAACTTGACTTTCCACTTTAAGAAGTTCACTTTTTGACCGAGGAGGACTAAGAAGTTGTCCAAGGCAGGTCAAGATTTTGGGACAGAAGGGGACTTTGCTTAGTGCTTCGTACCTTTGTCTGAGCAGATGTCTAAAGACACCCGCTCAGATCTAGAGAGCTCCTGGCCGGCCGTTTTTTTACTACGGCCGGCCCGGAGGCAGTTAAAGGGGATCTCAGTATGGAAATAAGGAAGCTGCCATTACTGAAATTTAGGCCTTAGGGTCATTCTCATGATCCTAGCCTAATTACTTAGCAAGACAGTGACCTGGAACTGTCCAATCTACGACAAGAGAAGAGCATAGACCTTTCAGCTGCATGCTTGTTCCAGGTTGGTGACTCTATGGAGAGTGTGACACTGAGCCTCCATGATTGAAAGAACTTAAATTTGATCATTTAAAGACGTGGACCAGGGACAGTCAGGCTGAGCAGTAAAGAAGTAGATGATGCTGGTTGTCCTCCAGCCAGGAAATGAGGCAGGCACTATCTGACTTGCTGCAGCTTCTAATGCACATTGTGAGAAGCTTGCGGTGTGCAGTGAAATCAGAGGAAGCCATTCCAGTCCAGGAGAGGACCTGGTACAACTGTGCAAGACTGACGGGAAGGCCAGAGTTCAGATTGAACGAATCACTGTTGTCTGGTTTCTGTTGCCAGTTAGAAAAGAAATGATGTAACTCATGTTGTTCCACATGTAACAGGTTCACTTTAAAGCTCAATTCCGATTGGGCGGTGTGGGTTATGGCGCACAACTTCTCCTATCACCCCCATTAAATAAATTGGTTTAATGTTTGTATTTTAAAAGGCGCTGGCTTGTGTTTCTTTGCTCCCTCTGCAAATATTATATTACCATCATGCGGGTTCAATGTAAGCGGTAATCCAGTAAATAGAATTGACTTTGTCTTTCTGAATCAAATACAACGAGGTCTCTAAAGTCAGTAACAGATTGCAAGCTCTGCAGGGTTGGGATACGCCCTGAATCCTCAGTTCATTCTGTAATAAACTCTCTCCAGTGTCGGCCGTGGGATCTCTGGGACCCATTAGAGAAAAAAAAGGTGAAAGCGTAAGCTCAGTCAAATGGGCAACAAATGCCAAAGGGCAGCATGTGGCCACGAGGCCACTATTTGGGCACCCAGACTCTATTTAATCTTTGCCTTTTCATGGAACTATAGCCCAATATTCTAGAGCAGGGGTGGCCAACGTTTGTAAACAAAGGGTTGGTTCAATGCACTTCAGACTTTAAAAGGGCCAGACCTTTGTGTGACCTGTGGGGGTAGAAGATGCCTCAGGTTTGGTGGTCAGTAGGAGTAAAAACAAATACCTAGCTTGTGTGGTCTTTGAGAGGAGGAATGATGCCCCATTGTTGGTGTGAGTGGGAGGAATAGTGCCCCATTGTTGGTGTTATTGGTAGGAATAGTGCCCCATTGTTGGTGTTATTGCTAGGAATAGTGCCCCATTGTTGGTGTTATTGGTAGGAATAATGCCCCATCGTTGGTTATTGGTAGGAATAGTGCCCCATCATTGGTGTTATTGGTAGGAATAGTGCCCCATCGTTGGTGTTATTGGTAGGAATAGTGCCACATTGTTGGTGTGAGCGGAAGGAATAGTGCCACATTGTTGGTGTCTGTGGGAGGAATAGTGCACCATTGTTGGTGTGAGTGGTAGGAATAGTGCCCCATCGTTGGTGTTATTGGTAGGAATAGTGCCCCATCGTTGGTGTTATTGGTAGGAATAGTGCCCCATTGTTGGTGTGAGTGGGAGGAATAGTGCCCCATTGTTGGTGTGAGTGGGTGGAATAGCGCCCCATTGTTGGTGTGAGTGGGGGGAATAGCGCCCCATTGTTGGTGTGAGTGGGAGGAATAGGGCCCCATTGTTGGTGTCTGTGGGAGGAATAGTGCCCCATTGTTGGTGTGAGTGGTAGGAATAGTGCCCCATCGTTGGTGTTATTGGTAGGAATAGTGCCCCATCGTTGGTGTTATTGGTAGGAATAGTGCCCCATTGTTGGTGTGAGTGGGTGGAATAGTGCCCCATTGTTGGTGTCTGTGGGAGGAATAGTGTCCCATTGTTGGTGTGAGTGGGGGGAATAGTGTCCCATTGTTGGTGTGAGTGGGAGGAATAGTGCCCCATTGTTGGTGTCTGTGGGAGGAATAGTGCCCTATCGTATGTGCCAGTGGGAGGAATAGTGCCCTATCGTATGTGCCAGTGGGAGGATTAGTGCCCTATTGTATGTGCCAGTGGGAGGAGTAGTGCCCCATCATTGGTGTCAGTGAGGGGAATAGTGCCCCATCATTAGTGTCAGTGGGAGGATTAGTGCCCCATCGTTGATGTCAGTGGGAGGAGTAGTGCCCCATCATTAGTGTCAGTGGGAGGATTAGTGCCCCATCTAAATATGCCCCATCATTGGTGTCAGTGGGATAAAATAAGCCCCATCGTTGGTGTCAGTGGGGGGAATAGTGCCCCATCATTGGTGTCAGTGGGGGGAATAGTGCCCCATCATTGGTGTCAGTGGGGGGAATAGTGCCCCATCATTGGTGTCAGTGGGGGGAATAGTGCCCTATAATTAGTGTCAGTGAGGGGAATGGTTCCCCATCATTGTCTCCCTGAAAGAAATAGGTGCCCATTGTGTCAGTGGGAAAAATACTGCCCCAAGGACCAGATATAGGCAAGCCAAGGACCATGTGCCTCAGTTTGGAGACTACTATTCCGAAGTATTAAACATTCCACAGCTCAGTCAAAATATTATCACCAGAATACAACTGACCGCCATATAATAACCCTTCTATATCTGAGATATCATATAATATTCATTAGATATAAACAGTATATGGGCCAATCTAAACCTAACATTCCGAGCAGAAAACCTCAGTACCACCTGGTAGCTGCCTATTTGGGTCTATGGAAGCACAGTCAACATTCCTGAGCCCTGATGAAGTAGGGAAGACTGGGTGGCCCCTGAAGCGCGTTGGATGTTTCTCTACTGTATACCAATGACATCATTAAAAAGTTTGGACTCTTGGGCGTTGGTTTGGCGCTCTCATTAGACTGAATTCCAGGCTTCCTCAGATTTCACCTCAAGTTGACATCAGGGAGAAGCAGTGAGAACATTCCACGACGCTGGAGTAGAGGGTGGGAGGATTCTGGGAAATCCTTTCTATAAAATGATTACTTTTGCCATGACTACAAGAAATTGTATCATTGTCTGCCCTTTTAGATAATCATAGCCGATTGCACATTGTAAAGGAGAGGTTAAACCATACAGTGGCTTGTTTATGTGTACTATAGCTATAACGTTGGAGCTTTCTATAGATCTCAGGGACATCGGTGGTGAGATCTCCAGAACTGCGTCCACCTGACATGGGAGTTAGGGGTCACAACTCCATTGCTGGGGTTTTATGCCACTGAAACCCTCAAAAGATACCTTTTTACATGATAGATAGATAGATAGATAGATAGATAGATAGATAGATAGATAGATAGATAGATAGATAGATAGATAGATAGAAAGTTTAGATTGGACAGACAGACAGGTAGATAGGAATAGTTTAGACAGGCAGGCAGATAGGGTAGGTCACACAGACAAATAGATCGATGGGACAGACGGAGATATAGATAGCATGGATCACACAGACAGGCAGACAGGTAGATTAGCTGCACTGACACATAGGATAGATCGGACAGACAGACAGGATGGATTGGACAGACAGACAGATAGAATAGATTGGACAGACAGATAGGAAAGATCAGAGAGATAGGATAGATTACACAGACAGAGAGATAAGAGAGATCAGACAGATAGGATAGATTGGATGGACAGACAGGTAGGATAGATTGGACAGACAGATAGGATAGGAGGGATAGTCAGACAGACAGACAGGATAGATTGGACGGACAGACAGATAGGATAGATTGGACAGATAGACAGATAGGAAAGATTGGAGGGGCAGACAGATAGGATAGATGGACAGACAGATAGGATAGATGGACGGACAGACAGATAGGACAGATTGGAGGGACAGACAGATAGGATAGATTTCACGGACAGACATATAGGAAAGATTGGAGCGAAAGACAGGATAGATTGGACAGTCAGACAGATAGGATAGATTGGACAGACAGATAGGATAGAAGGACAGACAGATAGGACAGACTGGACGGACAGACAGATAGGATAGATGGACAGACAGATAGGATAGACGGACAGACAGATAGGATAGATTGGAGGGACAGACAGACAGGATAGATTTCACGGACAGACATATAGGAAAGATTGGAGCGAAAGACAGGATAGATTGGACAGTCAGACAGATAGGATAGATTGGACAGACAGATAGGATAGAAGGACAGACAGATAGGACAGACTGGACGGACAGACAGATAGGATAGAAGGACAGACTAAACAGACAGACAGATAGGATAGAAGGACAGACTGGACGGACAGACAGATAGGATAGAAGGACAGACTAAACAGACAGACAGATAGGATAGAAGGACAGACTGGACGGACAGACAGATAGGACAGACTGGACAGACAGACAGATAGGATAGAAGGACAGACAGATAGGACAGACAGATAGGATAGAAGGACAGAGTGGCCCATGCTTTCCTCGTCTGTTGCTCGGTTCCCTGAGTTGGATTTGGTGGTCACACGGATATGTGACAAAGCATGGAAACATTCTTCCAGACGAGTTCACTTCTCTTTCTACAATCGCACATTTCCAAGGGTGGAGCCGCCTCTGGCAGACGCCCTCGCAGCTGCTCTGGTAACGGCGCAAGAGCGAGCTCAGACTTGAAGGTGTTAAACACAGCTTGAGTCAGAGAGCGTTGGGAGAGGTGCCAGGGCACAGCGTTGCCAGGGAGCTGGTTCCCCTGGCAGTCTGACACACCAGCCGGTGGCATGCGG